ACAGTTACAGCAAATTACTCTTGTTACAGTAAAAGTCCTGCTTTCAAAAACTTTTACTCAAAAAGTACAAATGTATTTGTAAAATGCTACCTTAAAGGAACCAGTGTTTGGGCGCCGATAGCTCACCTGTAGAGCTGGCACCACATGCCTGCCAAGGCTGAGTCTTAGGTTAGAATCCGAACGTGGCCCTTTGCTGCAAGTCATCACCTCTTTCTAACCCCTTTCCTTCCTGTCTATCCAGCTATCCGATCCAATAAAAAAAAGGGCATGAAAGCCCCCCCATATAATATATTTTAGAGGACCCAGTGCTGTAAGATTTAGTTGGTATCTAACCAGTGAAGTTACAGATTGCAACTAATGCTGAAACACGCTCGGTATCTGTTATTTTACGACCTGGGAGCTGAAAACAGGACTCGTGAAGTCTGCAAGAGAAAGAACATGCAACCTTGTTGAAAAAACCAACGCGGAGGCCCCTATTACAGCCAGTGTTTGCGGTTTGTCCATTCTGGGCTGCTGTAGAAGTATGGCCAGACTCAATGGGAAGCGCGACCCGCAACGGTCTGCTAGATAAAAACAGGCTCATTCTGAGGTAACGAAAACACAAACGATTCCTATATAGGTGGATTAACATTACAAAATAACTTCCACTTCAGGGTCTTGACTCCTACCAATTCTAAGGCCTTCATCCACATCTTATGCCAAAGGTGGAAGCTAATAATACAATGTCCCTACTACAGCTGGCATCTTATTTACCAGCAGCTTGGACAGAAGCACATCTGATGTACCAAATGAAATGTGACCTCGTTTTATTGCAGCCTATGCGAAATTTTCACTGGGTGGGCCTTGGAAATCAATAGCACTCACCACAGTCTTGCTCTGTTTTCAGACATGGTTAGCTGGCGCCTGGAATGACTATAACCATTTTAGTTGCTACATGACTGAATCAAACAAACTGTTGGCGATACAGTCTGCCCCACCACCGCACCCACACAGCTTTCTGATGTACATGCTAAACCTTTTCCCAAAAATACGGGTTGCTAATTTTGTGTTTTTCCTCGTGTCTCCTGGGGCCCGTTTTAAACTGTCTTCAAACAGAGGAAGGAATTGATGGCTTTTGAATCCGCCGCCAGGCATTCCTCATGTGACTGTTAAGTGTGATTTATGAGTGCACAACAGAAACACACAGAGGGAGGAGAGAGGGGGGGGGGGGGGAAGAGAAGAGAGAGGAAGGAGTTGGGGGTGCGGGGTGGGTGCAGTAAGAAAGTTTCCGAGCTTTGAGGTAAGTTATAGGTCTTTGAGGCAACAGGTGTTGAAGCTCTGCATTCAGAAGTTTTCAAATTGCACATGTGGTACACGCTTCAGATGGACATATGTAAAACACACACACATACACACACACACAGAGCAAAAACTGGAGAATGATACAATGTCTTTACCACCTGTAGCCTGCAAGTGTGCTTTCGAATTTCACCCTTTTTCTTTCCTGAATATTTCCTCTGTTGTTTTAAGATATATCACACACACACACACACACACAGCATTAATGATGATGAATGACTCACTGATTAAATGTGCACTGGGCTGTGCTGTTTCATAGAGCGGCAGAAGTGAAGAGTGATGAAGATTTATAATTGAACTCCACTGATTAGAGCAAAATACTTTTCACATGACACCCTGATAAAGTACAGATCCATACTGAAACACTCACATACCAATTATTACAAAAGTGTCACTTCAGTGCTGTTTAGAAGCATTCTATATCATACTTATCAGGGTTTGGAAATTCCTTTTTGTTTGGCTAATGCAGACTTCACTGCCATGATCCGGTAAAACAGTCAAGCGGATTTTAGCCATGTGACTTGCTAGTTATGCCTGCCAGAGAAAATCCAAAGGCTCACACCAAGCTTTACATCAGTGGGGGAGAGCTCATGACTTCATTCAACCGGGCAGAAGTAAAAACAGCTCTCTGATGGGGTCTAATTGTAATGCAGGAACAAGAGGGAAACACGCTTGAATGGTGGCTCTTGTTATCCTAGACACATGGGGATTGTGTGCCACTGAATGCAGCTTTTTACATTTTGACATCTGTCCAAACCACAAACGTTCAGTGAGGACTCAAGAGCAAGTTCTGTAGGTGATATCACACAAACAGTCTTATAGCCCAGTGGATCTTACACTGAAATGGTTGTTTCAACTCAGCAGACAGTTTACCAAATACAGAAAAACCATTCATACCACAGTCATAGAGTCATCAACATCCAACTTTCTACCAAAATCTTATCAACATCTGAGTTAGTTTTGGGTCAGGGGGTGATTGAACCAGGCCGGGCATTACCTTTCCCGCAGGCTCCCCGCTGAATGAAAAGAACAGGTGGCTGCTGCAGCTTCTGCGCCCGACGGCTGACCCTCTTCAGCTCGCAGATATTCCGGTAGGACACCCCATCGCTCCCACAAACCGGATCGGTGGTTTTGCACACGCAAGTCCCAGTCTTGCTTCTCCTCCTCACCGTGACAGTGTACGCCACCCCGCCGGGGACCGAGCACTCCATCCCCTCTCCGCACATCGGGTCCCCGAGCTTCCCGGTGCCGCCGCAAGCTTCGCCCTCGCCGGACGCGCACACCGGGCAGCAGTGACAGGCATCGAGGGTTTGTCCCGCCTGGCAGTCCGCTGGTAGCCGGGGACACATCGACTTGTCACACCGAGCAGGACATCCGATAACGTACCGGCTGGAGACCTGCGCATCTGCCGGCACGGACGCAAAGGCTACGATTACGCACAAAGACAGTGACCAAAACATGATTCCAACTAAAGAAAAAATAAGTTTAAAAAAGAAAGTTAAATAGAAAGTTTAAAAGTGCGCTCTCTGCTTGCAGTGTTAGGGGATGAGAGAGCTCAGTAGTGCTGAAAGGGGGGAGTCACTTCAGCTGGAGAGGCATTTAACAGAAAGTCCACTGCGCAGCCAATTACGCGACTTTACGTTTTTTTGCAGGCTCCGCATCATAGAGGCAACTCACTCTGTGGATAATCACAATGAGCCTGGTGATTGGTGGGTTTACATGACGCACTTGAACGGAAGAGTGAGGATAAAATAAGAAACAGAGTTGTTTTCAAGCAGAAGCACTGCTGGAAAAGTGACCAAGATTTGCGTAAATTCTTCTCTCTCTCTCTCTCTCTCTCTCTCTCTCTCTCTCTGCTGCTTCCCTCGGAGTTGAGGAGGTCAAGGTCACCTAACAGCACCTCTGGAGCTTGTAGACACTGAAAGAAGCTCAAGAACATCTAAGCTTTTGGCAGTGTTTGTTGATATTGGCACTGACCCTGATTTACTTACAAACAAATAAAAATAGAGAATTTAAAACTCAGCAGTGCCGCCCAGATGTTTTATATGCTGCACAGCCCTCCACACATCCTGCAGGCTTATTTTCTGCATGTTGTTTTTAACTACTCCCTTTATGAAATTAGTCACTCCTGGCATCCACGCAGGCCTTACAGCTACTTAGTGGTGGGTGTATTGTGGGATTTGGGGAGTTAATGTAGCGCTTTCACATAGCCCTTCATAAACAACCAAATTTGTTCTAATTGGAAAATAGCAAGAGAACGTCAATAATCAATTTGATCTTATCCTAGCTCTGTGGGTTATATGCACCCAGCTGGCAGGCAAATAAGCAACTTCACTTGGGCTTACCAAATAAAAGTTAAAGTTTAAATCAATCAAAAAGTATTCTAAACATTTCTTTCATTTGTGCCACAAACTAAATGGAAAACTTTTCTTTCTTTGTTTTTTTTGTTGGAAATACCATAAAATAATCTGATTGTTTGTTAAATTGACAAACATTTCCAGCATTAAGAGACTACATTTCAGTGTTGGCGAACAACAAATCTCTGTTAGGTATTAGATGTCTGTGGTGAGCTGTAAAAGAATCCAATAAAGACTGAGGCAATGAATCAGCCTCATAAAACACCTCAGGACAATGTGATTGATTATGGGCACGGGGTCGTATTAATGGTTTAAATGGTGTGCCTGGATGCAGGGGAGCACCCCACAGAGGCCCTGCTCGGGAATGGAGGGACGAGGCCCCCTGCGGTGCGCGGGGAGCTCGGGTTAACACAAGCTTCTGTATCCAAAAGGCAATTAGAGAGGGGCATAAAGAGACGGAGGGCAGTTACATGCTCTCAAAGGCTGCACCGCCTTATACAGCACAGGAGTTAAATAAGAGGGTATACATTCATTCCTGAGCTCAGAAATGTGAGCATCATGTTTGGACTGATCCAAAAATGAATGAAACTCAGACAGCCTCAGTATGACCTTACAGCATCATCAGACCCATTATGTGGCAGTACTCGTTGGAGCACAAGGACGTGGGCGAGAAATGGTGGGAAAATCTGCAGATGAAAACAACCTCATCTAGGAACACCCATTCTCCAACCAGGGCCAGTGAGCATAGCCAAGGATGGACGCCACTGAGGTCTGTGTGATCTCTCCACTCCAGTCTGCAATGATGTCTTTGGCTGTGAGGGAGGCCCTTCTGAGTCCAAATGGGGCTCGCCTGAAGCCACACCAAAGTGTTGCATCCTCCAATAAGGAGCTGATATGTACTTAGTGAAGATGGAGCAAAGAGCTCTACAGTAATATCCAAGAGCTGTACATCTAAGCTCCTACCCCCAAACATCCACCATAGTGCCTACACACGCAGTATCCACAACATAATATACAAAGACTGAAGCCCAGAATATGCCATAGCTCACCCTCTGACTGATTAAAGAGGCTTTGCATATTCAGCGTTTCTCCATGACCTCACTCTGTAAATCCATCTACTACACATGCTGTGTAAACCAGAGGTTGCATAATATTATGCAACGAGCACCTCATTAATTAAAATTAATTAATTCATGAAGGGTTACCCATAGATACATGACTGAATCAACAGTACTGAAGAGGAAATGCAGACTGTATGCAGTAGTGGAATGTAACTAAGTACATTTGATCAAGTACAAATTTGAGGTACTTGTACTTTATACGTCTACTCCAATTCGCAGGGAAACATTTTACTTTGTTACTTTGCTACTGCAGATTAAGCTTTAAAAAACATATGATGAATTTATGAAACATGATGCACTGTTACAAATTGAACTATCCAGCAGTATTTAAAATAGTTAGCTCCACCTCAACCAACTACAACAGTAAACATACACTTTGATGTATCAGTAATAATAATCCAACAATATATATAGCAGTGTAACATTCGCAGGGGCTTTTTTTTGCACTATGAATACTTTTGATACTGTCGCTAATAATAATAATTTTTTTGTTATTGATATATAATAATTTTGTAAACAGAGAAAAATTAACTCTTTATTTAGGACTCGACTGTTTATGATTACTGGAATAATGTCGTGACTATATGATCATACGCAAAAATAATTTCAGGCATATTACAAACTAAGTGAGTTGTTGAAGTTGAAACACAGTTTAATGCACTGAATATTATATGTGGGTTTCGCGCATTTGCCATAATATAATGTATATTCTGCCCTGGTGTTAATTACAGTACTAATATTGGATAAAATTATATATTATTATATTTTAATGTGTTGGGTGAAGAAATGTGGCCAATGAAGAGAAATAAACAAGGAGGAAACAGTGTATTTTACTTTAAAGGAGTACTTTTACTTTGCTTTCATTCTTGTAGATGGTGTTTTGGACCACTGGAATTCATTCAATAAAGTGTCTTCTCTCACCACAAGAGGGCAGAAGGAGCTTTGGTGAGTGATGAATGCCATGCAACAGTGCATTTCTTTCTTTCCAGACTAAACTAAAGCTCTCAATTTACCTCCACAGACTGATTGTGCTCCGTGGAGATAAACAACGCACACTACTGAATGACAATCCATGAAACCTGAGCACATTTTCAGTGTTTATTTCTTTCAAGTCATCCACATAATAAATAGAGACAATTCAAACCAATTACACCAGACTGAAACAGGGTGAACTAGCTTGAACTTTGCAGGGCATAAATGAAGCAGGCACTTTAAAAAAAGATTAGTGTGTATTATTTAGCAGGACAACAGTGGGACATTTTTAAATAAAACCACGAGGCAGCGGCCTCCTGCTGGGTTGGCGACACAGGTACAATGAATACGATCAGGAAACATCGAAAAGCATATAAAAAATAAATCTGCAAACACACAACACACAGAGCGGCCGTAGATGAACAAAAACTAAAAAACAGAAAGAAAATCTGAGGAATCATTTAAATGGTAACAAGCAACGGAAGTGTCTGAACTTGAATGTTTTTTTTTTTTTGTTAATCCAAAATGTTTGCGCGGTTTTCATACAGTTATTCAAACAATGGACTCCAGGTCAAGTTAACCCATATGAGCCTGTTATTACCCGGTCTGTCAGGACATGAAGCTTATCTATAACTGACCCAGCCCTATTGCTGAAGGTTTTATTACTATGAATTACAAAATGTTTACAAGCGTAGTCCTTGTACTTCCTGTTTACTCATCACACAAAAGTGAGTCCATAAAGTCTGGTATGCTGAAATGTAGTCCACAAAGAAGCTGATTCATGTTGTGAGGCATGTACATATAGTTTATATAGTTTCCAAAACTGTTGTTTTTCTTATGGGCTTCTGAACAGTCAAACTCACTTTACTTCCAGAGGAGGCTTATCTGTAAGACCATTCATTGTAGATTGTAGCTTGTGGTAAAAGTGAGCATGTCATTATATGATTGAGCAACCCACTGAAATATTTAAAAATAAAGAGAAATTTAAGTCATTCTTGGCAAATGTAAAAAAAAAATAGGTCTATATACACTGGGTTCAGCATTTAGTCCTAGACCAGTCCAGAATCTTGGAATTATAATTTGCATCAGAGCGAGAATCTGATCTCAGACTATGCTTGACACATGTCCCTAACACTGGCCAACAATAGTAGACAAATCCAGGGTTACAATAGTGAGTGTATGAATGGACCGCACAGTTTAAATTAGTAGATTAGAGAGGTGATGAAAAGTAAATCTTTAGTTTGAACACTCCACTCAATCAAGAGGAAGTAGTTTGCTCTTGTAAGCTCCCTTATTTTCTTGGCACAAAGTGGTTTACAAACATCCTCCGCCCACAAAGACCGTTGAACGCACCGTTGTGCCTGTACAGGTTAAAATAAAGCTCTGTCATTGAATTCTAATCAGCACGACTAAACTAAAAATTTGTAGTTTTGTTTAACAACATCAACTCTAAGTAAATAAATACACGATTGTAAATGCGACAGCAGGCAGGCAGAGGGGTGTGGGTGCAGACTGGGTCGTCTTTGGCACACGAGTGCAGTTCAGTGGTGACCCAACGTGTGTCTCTAGAGCACTGACGGCACTGACGGCACTGACGGAGGAGCTCAAAAGTTGAGTTTGTGATGTTGCACGCTGTCATCCGCCAACAGCTTTTGGTTTGAAAACCAATGCCTGCCCTTTTGAAACACTTATTGCGCACAGTTTCCTCTCTATCTGTGGAGTCCACATCCAGACAAACACGTTTTAACGTCCAACGGCTCAGACCTCGCTCACCGGCAGGTCAGCGTCATCCAGGTCCAGGGGTGGTTCGGGCATGTGGGGCTCAAAGCTGCTCCGCCGTCGCCACGGTGACTCCTCAGAGTCGTTGATGGTGGTCACAGGTGGTTCGCAGGTCACTTTGCCAGACGCGTCTCCTGCAGGGACAGGCGTGCTGGCGTGTGGCTGTGACTGGGCCGTGGCAGCAGGCTCATGAAGTGCTCGCTGTCCCACGCCAGGCTGCGAGCGTGTGCCGCACGTGACAGCAGCCCCCCACTCTGGGTAGCATGGTTGCATGGCAGATATGGGCGAGCGAGGGACGGGGGGACCCGCGGGGCTGCGGTAGAAAGTGGAACGGCTGCCGTGTTCCTGCAGCAGAGACAGTGGGAGGACACAGAGAGAGCGAGGGGTGAGGGAGACAAGATGAGTGGTTGTTTGTGAGAAAAGTGAAATCCTGAAATGTGTAGTTTACTTGAGAAGCGCAAAAAGTGAGTTACAGACTTGGAATTAACACCGGCATGTGGAGCCTGATGCAGCTTTTAGCAGAGCTGGTACTCAAGGTTGTAGGTGCTGAAGAATGTAGCTTTGCTAGAAAGTGGAGATGGTGGTAGTAGCAGTAGCAGTAGTAGTAGTAGTAGTAGTAGAAGCAGTAGTAGTAGTAGTAGTAGTAGAGGTAGCGGAAGTAGTGGTAGTAGTGTCAGCAGGTTTTTAGTTTTTAGTAGTCTCAACAGGTTGCAGTGGAGGGGCAGAGTGCCTTAGGAAGCAGTGGTTGGTTGTTGCTCATTATATCACAGCTTTTCATTGTCAGATTTTAATCTCTGAAACACAAAACAGAAGCATGGGAAGAAAGAAGAAACACAGCAGAGGTCGTGAAAGCAAGCCATTGAGCAGTGGGTGAAATGTTGGTTAGAGAAACATCCCAGCTATAAAGCACCAAAAGACTCCCAGACAGGTATCTGTGTAGACCTTAAAAGATGATGTGTTTGGACACAGTAGTTTCTCCCTCACAACTTAACAGGCTTGTGAAACTCATCAGTGAATCCACAGAGCACCACTTAAGCGGCACAATATTTAAGAATCAGTTTCCTAGCAACAAACATGTCTAAAAATCCAAGGGAGGGTCACATATGTATTAAACGATGCTTTATGCTGAATCCAAAGGTCCTAAATCAAGCTCATGTAGAATTTTAGGGGACAGATGGTTAGAAAAGATAGTACACTGGAGACTTGGAAAGCTGCCCACAGATCACTGCACTACTGATTAATTAATATGATCTCATAATATATGCATGTCCCATTAGCCTCTTGTACACTCTAAAAGCTCTGACAAACCCAAATATTTACATGTAAATCAACATGCCACAATGAAAAACGGCTGCAGACTGTGGACGTGTGGATTCAGCGCTGGCGAGTCCTGATTTCAAAGCTGTTCAAATGTTCAAAACATTCATCACACAAAAAAAAAAAAGGTATAGGAAGTCAACATGGAAACAAGTATATTATCGTGTGTATGAGAAAGAGAAAAAACATACAGGCAGCGAACAGGAGGGAGGAGGAGAGACAAGCAGGATGTCACACATCTAAGACAGGTACACAGCTGCAGCAGACTGCAGAGATAACAGAGCATGAAGGGAAGAGAAACAGAAGGTGTGAAAGACACATGTACCCAGTAATAAAGACAGAGATAGAAACAGGCTTACGGTATTCATAGCTAAGCTGGTGTACGTCATGCGGTGAGTGCATGTGTTTGACTGGAGATGAATTCATGTGTTTATTTATATTTTACATATCAATAATGGTGAGGACAGGTAAAAGCTGTGCAAGTGAAGCTACAAGACCAAGAAGACCGTAGGAGCGTGCGTGTGTGTGTGCGTGAGGGAGGGAGGGAGGGAGGGAGGCAGTGACTGCAGGTCTTTTCCGATGGATAGATGGTCTTATTCCAGCTGTTAAGGCATTCTGTACCCGAGTAAAATATTACTTTTTAGCATTTGACTTAAGGTGTGCTTGATTTGTTGCCATGCTCATGGCGACAGTCATCACATGCGAGAGAGAAGCTAAATCAAGCACACCTTGAGTCTCGAAAACTCCTGACACAACTTTTTTTTTTTTTTTTTACACAATTAACTGGAGACAATCCGAGCGCATTGAATGAAATGGGCTCAACTTGGAGCTGAACTTAAAGTGACAGTGCGGCGGAAAGAAAAGCAAGGTAGGAGAAGTGGATAAGAGAAGCAGTGAGGACGAGGGCTTGAAGGGAGGAGCGCTTGTTGGGTTATCACAGCCATACTTAGGATGTGGTTGGTTCTTAGAAAAAAAAAAAAGGAAGCATCAGATGTGCGGTCAGATCTGATCTGCTCACATAAGGTCTACAACCACAAAGGGCCAGCCAGTGAGTGGAAAACAGTATTAAAAAAAGGTGAACTTATAGTTTAAAAGGGGGGATTTAGACGAGCTGACATACGTGCTGCTGCACTCCCCGATTCGGGACGTATACCTCTGTATACAGGGGTTCGACAGCCGTCTGGCCTGCCGCATCTGCAACAACACAGTGCAAAGCAGTATTAGAGCAGATGGGCTGTCTGCCCACAGGGAGAGAAGGAGGTGGAGAGAATGTGACAAAGAAAGAAAGAAAGAAAGGGGAAAAAAAGAGGACAGAGAGAAGAGGCACAGGAGAGGAAAAATGAGGTGAGAAAAAAAAAAAATACAAGCAGAAGAGAAAGAAAGACACAGGAGGCAAGAAAGAGGGAACTGTAGAGAAACAGACAGCGCAGAGCTGTTGAGAATGATTCCAGTCTAACCAGAAGGGACCAACTGCGGCAGAGGACACTGTCTCCTCTGCAGTCAGGACTATGGAGCTTGTTTACTTCTCTCTTCTCACCTGCCAAGTCTACTTTGCCCTTCACGATGCATGTATGCTTCTGATTGAACTAATTAAGCAGTTCTAAACTCAGGTAGTGTACTCAAACTGATTTTGTGGTCTGTGCGAGTACGCCGGTCTGTCATCACTGGTTATCTCATGTACTGATGACCTGCTTTGGTTACAAATCTGTACAGGGGGCGCCTGGTGGCTCAGGGGTTAAGGCACCGAACATGAACTGCAACATCCCCAGATAGCATTCAGCTGGGGACCTTTGTTGCACGTCATTCATCATCTCTCTCTCTCTCTCTCTCTCTCTCCCCTCATTTCTGTTATCTATCAACTGTTGACGGTCTGATAAAAGGCATTACATAGCCAAGAAAGTACAGTAAAAAAAAACACCCTGCTTTGCTGTTGGGTGGTGATGAGGAGGGATGAAGAAAATGCAGAACATGCTGCAAATGTCCCAAGGCGTTCTACTGGTCTGTGGCTCGGGCAGGGTGCAAAATTTACTTTTTTTGTCCACCGGCAAGGAAGGAAGGAAGGAAGGTTCAAATTTGACCAGATACTCAGCAGATTACCATTGGGGGTTTTTTGGCTGGTAAGTGAAGCAAATCTACCAGCCACTTGCATATTTTACCAGCATTTGGCTGATGGCTGGTGCTAATTTTGTGCCCTGGAATTGGGAGTTGGGAGCTACAGGTGTACACAGAGAAGAATTTAACTTCATCACTATACAACCACAACTGGAACACCTGGGTTTCATATTCTTGAAATATGATGAGGTAGTCATACGGTAAATTCATCTGAAACATACTACTGCCAAACTACTGTTTCTGCTACTCTGCATCTCTTTAGCTTTCAGGTGTATGAGTTCTTGTGATAGTAAGAAACTGCAAAGAATAATCAATAAATGACATGAGTGAAAGAATACAAATAAGTCTTGTGAATAATCTCGACTTGACTCCTCATACCACCAGATGTCACTCAGTAAGCGAGTCTCATGTCATATCCCTTTATCACATTTGAGATCTCTGAAATCTGAAGTGTACTTATTATGACTTGAATCCATTCTATGGTAACATTGTGCTGTACTGTAGTGCAAGATACATACTGTGGCAGCGGACCTCCCAGGCCCCCGCTGGGCCACAATGGCCCCTGAGACAGCCTTGATCCAGCTGTGCATCTCCTCTGGGCTATCCGCCTAGTGGAGACATAAAAGAAGAGGACATTGAGGACAGTGGGGAAAACACTGTGGATAGACATGGAGACAATCAGTGTTTACGAACACTGCAGAACTGTAATGGAATCTATTGTACATTCCTTTTACCACTCAAAACATTCTACCTGTATGTAAAATGTCCTTGATGTGGTGACGACTTCAAACAGATTATCTCTCATCATGATGTCACTACAAGAAAAGAGGAAAACAAGTCAGATCAAATTCATCTCATGTATATCTTCATCTACATCAGAAAAAGTAAACACCATCCTCCTGGACAAAAGACGTTTTTTGTACAATAGGAAAATGCTGGGACATGTTAAATACCTCTGTTTGCACTCCTGGACTTTGTGAACTTCCTTTAGTGGGATCATTCTCAGAGGCTCTTTCTCCTACAGTCCAGAAAGTAACCATTAATAATACTTAAATAAGCCAAAACCTGAAAACTTAAAAACACAAAAATAAATATGATCATTTACACGTATATTACAATTTTTTATTTTTTTTTGCTAATAGAAAAACAAGGCAGAGTTTGTCTGTGTAAGAGGGACAGAAGACAGTGAACTTTCCTAGATGTAGCAGACTGCAAACTAAAATCCCTGATGGTGGTAACTTTCTTGACCCGGCCATTTGATACAGCAGACACAGAGTCTGTGTCCTTGGGGCCTGTTGATAGCCAAATAGACAGATAAAGCTGTCAAATAAGGGCAGCCCCGGACAAGGACGGGGTATGGGACGTGCAGTATTATCCTGAGGACAGTCTGTGTGTGTATGTGTGTAAGAAAGGCTGATGGTGGGGGGGGGGACAAGGCATGATAGGACATGTGAGGTGAAGGCATTGAATTCCACAGACTGCGGATAAAACATGTTAGAACTCGGGACTGTGTGTTTGCTGTTACTCTGCCTCTGTGACTGTGACTGTGGGGTGAATCTAACCCACATGCATCGTCAATAAAAACATTCCTTAAAGGCTTCGCATAACTTAATCAAAGTTAATTACCAAATCTGACTTGAAGTAACTCATTGAGTTTTCCTCCAGCAGGAAATACCGCCGTTTCCAGTTCCTCATCTAGGGGGAAAAGAGGAAAAGACGTTCAGGGATTCTGTATAATTTCCAGACAAAACAAGATTACTATAATAATGAAATTCTACTTATACTTCGTACTCATTGCACAACTTCACCGTCTACATACAATAAAGAGGGAAGTTTATTATCATTGGGAATTTAGAATGTACAGAAATGGACACATTGGAAAAGTTGCCATTCTTTAGGCAACAAAGTTCTTTACCATTATCAAGTCTTATCACCTCGCATTCACTAAGTCATAAGACTTTGACGTGAAGTTGCTATTTATGTATGCTGCTGCCATTAATCATAAATGTGGCTGCATGTTGGTGATGATTGATAAATACAGTGGATTTTTCAGATAAGAGTGTAGCTAGCACTGCATGCAGCCAGTGACACCCAGCCAGAACTACACGCCTAATTTGAAAGATGTTTCAAGAGTCCCAACGTCTCTGAATGGTACCAGAAAACGAAGTGAAACCATCTTAGCCCAAAAGACAACCAACAGAGAGGCTGGTACTCACCACAGCGCCCTGCTTGACGCAGTAGCCGGACTTGATGACCGTGTGCTCCTGAGTGGGCCTGCCCAGGAAGTACGGCAGCTGGCTGTGGGAGCGATGCATGGCCTCACGCTCCGCTCTGTCTACACCATCACCACCTTCATGCTTGAGGGTGAAGGACACCAGAAATATTGTGTAAGTGCAAGTTCCAAGAACATTTTAATAAAACAAACAAACACAGATTTTCATAGTCTGATGGATAGTTTTAACACAAATGACATTGGCCACAATCCTGGTGAGACAGAAGTTGGAGTTAAAAGTAAAGCAGTATAGCAGGATATCAAATTCGATGTATTAATAGTAATATTGTGCTTTTTTAAATAATATATATTTATATATACATAATATAGTATTTTGCCAACAGTTGGTCACTGAGTGTTTTCCTGTGGGTGTCAAAACATTAAGTGTGCTTATGTGCATGAATGTAAATACAGTATGTGTAATACAGTTGGGTGCTGTGGGTGATGTTTTACCTGAGTCTGGGTGACGATGGGGACTCCTCCAATGATCTCTGTCTTATAGGAAACTTGTTTCTTGGGCCCTACGACATCTGGCAAAGTCTTCTGGTTCTCTGCATTCTGCTGGCCATCAGACAACTTTGGCACCTTAGGAAAACAGACACCCATCAAAGCTGATTAATCTGAGAGGAGCTGTTAACACACAAATACCAGACAGAAACAGGGAGTTTTGTGGACTTCAGGTGTAAGTTGGCCTTTTTCTCTGTAGATAAAATATGTAACTTGTATGTATGCAGAAGTTCACAAGCCTGTAACACATTTCCTCTCTGCATGGTAATGGCTTCATGGAGAACAATGGAAACAGTCCTTTATCCAGGCACTCCATAAAACAATACAGCATCCTGTTAGTCATGCTCTGACTCACTCCTATCTAGTTACTTGACAGTCCACTCATTCATTTCTACAGAAGAGGAAGAAATAAAAGTTTCTCCAAGTGATAAAACATGAGCCAAAAAGAACAGATTAGTACAGCTGAATCAGAGATGCAGTGTATGTTTGCATGCGTGTGTTTGACTCACGGTGATCTTGGTGGCTTTATTGAGAGCGTTGACCCAATCTACGAGGTCCTGCTGGTCGTTGGCCTGCAGGAAGAACTTCCTCATCCCAGCATTGATGACTAATAGATCATACAAAAACAGCAGAGGGAACAGTATGAGTGAAAGTATAGTATAGTCACAGTCAGACTACATTCTTTACACATCATCTGATTCATTTTCAGTTCAATATGGATCACATACAAATAAGAAGAAAGATGTACAGTGGAGGGAGTGTTGCCATTCTTGTACAGAAAATATGACGGGAGCGAAGAGATCCACTGCCAGAGATTTCTCTAGAAGTGAAACACAACTGAGCCAAGGGACTCTCCCACACACTACCAGCAGCAGTCTCTCCATGTGGATGATGACCCAGCTAGATCCAGCTGCTTCAGTCTGCCACCACCTACCCACCATGAAAAAAAAAAAAGCCCACGGCTACAAACCACCAAATATTCTTGCATATTTTCACACCCATGTGAACATGAGCAAACCCTGTTTTCAATCACAAAGAAATTTTTGGGTCAAATGCTGATTAGCTATGGATCAGGATTTAAAAGCTGAAAGAACTCAAGTCTCTGATTCTCTCTCCCTCTCTCTTCCATAAATCCTTCAATTCGGCAGCTCAAACCGTCCTTGTGTCTCCTCTATTTCCTTTCGACACCGTGTGAATAAATTACATTAAAGCTGGACTGGTAAATCTGGCGGGGGTGAGCTGTAAACGGCACTGAGAGCTCAAACTCTGTGGCACAATGAGGATCATTCTTCCTTGCTCTGTGTGTTGGGTCCAGCTCTTAGACACATGCAATACTTCCCTCCCTCTCCTTTTTCCACTTCCCTGTAAATGAATCTGTCTGTCTAGTCTCATTCAGATCACCAGCACGAGTTAATTCAACCTTTAAATGTCCACTATATGTTTGGGAGAGGTAAACTGACTGTGTTAGGGGCGAAATCTGGGAGGATTTGACTCACAGTTACACATTAGAAAACAATGTGTGCTGCTTAGAACTGCAGCCAATCACCAGAGTTCACACGAATGCGCCACTCTTGATCTCTATCACCACCACACGTACGGCACAGACCTATCCATCATCAATAACAGATTGCAATCAGGTCTCTACTTGTTGACTGTGACAGCGATTACCTAATTCTTCTGTTTCTTCTTAAGTTGCTAGATGCAGGAAGGGGGAGAGGGGGGAGCAGGATTCGTAGATATCAGCAAAACATGTGGCACACAAACGGCACTGTAAAAATAACTTCATACATCTCTGAATCAGGTTCCGATTAGGATGTCGGCATCCTGTCGAAATCTCAACAAGGCAACTGGTGTGCTCACGCAGCCAGACACACGCACAGTCACGGTAGTCAACGCGCTAGTATTTCCTGCCATTGAAGCGGCTGGAAGAAGGGGAGAGGGGCTAGTAAACAAAAACAGGGAATGGAGGTTTACTCCTAAATAACCTGATGACGGTTCATATTTATGCAACATTTTTCCTTTCCATCCTGACCACACAAGGTGAGCGGACAAGGATAAATGTCAAGATATAGCAATATCTTTGTTGCACTGTCCACTAGTGAATCAGGGGACATATAGATACATATAGCAGACGGATGGGGGACAGATATCAGAACTAGGCATGGAACAATATGAAAATTTTATGTCCCGATTATCTCGGGCAAAATAATTGCAATACACGGTATTACTGCGAGTATACTTCATACTTTTAAAATGGCACTTAAACATACTGGAATCACTTCACCTTACAAACACGTATATTTATTTCACCACATTTCCCTTTTCTTTGATTTGCAATTCATACTATTTCCACACATCCGGTTTAGATTAACCAAGCCATCAGCCATGGTGACAGGTTTAGGATTTTTGTATGACTTGAAAGATGTGGGCTCTCCCTTGTCCCCTTGTTCAAAATAAATCAGGAAATCATTATAGGAATGCATGCTGGCGAGCTAGACAGCTTTTTTCTAGTCAAGCCATGTGAGGATATATCACGATAATGGAAATTCTCCAGAATAAATTTGAGATTGAGATTGTTCTTTATCGCAATAGGTGATAATATCATACATCGTCCTACCCCTAATCAGAACTGCTTGTTGGATGGTAAAATAGCTGCAGAAATTCCGCCCCCACACCTCTTCGTCACTGGATTTGAGGGAACTGTGAGCAAACATTTCTGTAACTTTCCAAAACTGACATTTACACCCACTTCAGGCTGCGACTGGCCAGCTGTGCGGAGGTGACAAAGGAGCCAGGGCAACTTCTCGCTCTAGCTCTCTTTTTCCTCCGTTACAAAACTATTTCTGGCACTTTTTCATGTGAACAAATGAGCGCCATGCAGGAGAGATGACATGTATCTGTCTGAAATTATGACAGATTTTCACTCTATTTTTAAGTGTGGTTGGAAGCCCGTCGTACAAACCAGTTCCTTTCTAGCATAACCCGGCCCTAGGGGTCAGAATTTTGAACCCACACACAAGTTGTTAGGGATAGAAACGAGGGTCTTTCAATGCAGAGAAACTCAGTCAGATTTGAATTAGTAAATCTTAGCTTGAAAATGTAATCATTATTACTGCAGGTGCATTTTTCATTTGGTGTCTTTTCCACAACATAGTCTGTATTACTGCATTTATTCTGGGGTAAATTACAAAGGGGACTCTCAACTCCACAAGGCACTTTTAATATTTACATTAATAGGAAAGATGGAAGAATCAAAAACCTCTGTCTCTCTGTAGTAGTGCAATTATAAAAAAAGGACTGTTGGGAGAAATGTCTAATTACCAAGCCTCTGAATTTATCAAATGTAGAAATATGATCCAAGAAAACTCATCAGGTGTCAACACAACCATGTTGTCGCCTCCTGCATTTTGGCATGTTGGCTAAACAGACAATGTTGAACAAGGCTGCCTGGTCAGTGGCAGAGAACGTATGTGGAGAGCAGTGCTTGACCATGTTTAGAGGGCAGAGAAGGACAGCAAACATTCCTCCCTTAGGTTATATTAAGTGTACTCAGCTTTGTCAACATGTGATGCTGATGTTTGCATAGCCCTGCAGGGTTTTTTACGTTCTATACTTTTACAAGATGTATGTTTTTTTCATAAGCTAAGACCCAAGTTAGAAAACAAGGATTTAAACTGTAAAAGAAATCAGTGAATTATTTCCAAATAGGTCTGTATTTTTCGAGGAAACTAATAACAAATGGCAAGATTGAGATGATCAGTGTTTTCTTACCAAAACAGAACTCTGCCTTAGGCCTCAGCTTAGTGGCATCGCTGACCTAAAGGAGGACAAAGCACACAACTGTTAGCTTTCCAGTTTAACCAAATACTGTAAATGGATTCTATTTATACAGAATCTTATCATGTTAGTGTCAGATAAGCTTCGGTGGTAATGTTTCTTCTTACCTTAGAGATGTAGGTGAGCTTGAGGGAGCCAACACAGTCTGCACCAACAGGCAGGTTCTGTGGGAGAATGATAAAAAGAACAATATGGGCAAAAACAGAAAGCTAACCATTCACTACTCTACTAAGGCCTTAGCTGTGGATTATCGATAGAATGCAATGTGGTAGGGGAGTGAAGTCAAGTTCAGCAGAGTAAGTCAATAGTAAGTACAGTATACTTTGCACTCCGTAGTAGTTAATTTCAGTTTCTTGCTGCACTTCTGAAACTAGGGGATCCAGATTTAACATCATTAAAATTTAAGCTTTTTCAATCTATAAAAAGAAAGGGACTTACTGAATTATTTAAAATCTCCCCTGCACTACATGATTTATGAATACTTCATGTAACAGCGCACTTACAAATACAGCATATCCAAACCAGCATGATATACAAACCAAGAAGAGAGTTACACTGCAATAACTGTGACACCGTGAGTCAGAAAATGACGACCGCTGTGGTCAATGCAAATATCAGTGCCATCTACACAGACTCATCCAGAGGACTAGACAACAAAAAACTATCCCAGGTTTAGAGTTAAACATCAGTTCATTCTAAAGAAAAATGTCTTCTGATAGCTAAAACACAAACACACCATTACACCTGACCTACTCCTGGGAGTGTAATATGTGCTTCCTAATTGCTGTCAACTAGAATTACATAATACAAGTCCTCCCATCCTTTTATGGAAACACTTAGCCTGAACTTAGCTTTGTGTTCCCAATGAATGAAGACAGCTCAGCTAGCAGTAGCCTGCAGTTGCACGAGAGCTGATCATCCACATCGATAACCGACGATGGCAGGCACGCGGTCGCCTGTAAACTGTCCGGTTTTCCATCAACAAATGAAAACGTCAGCCTGTGCAGAAACCTGGAAACCCCCAAAATGAGGCTAAAAGCTAAGCTAACACAGCCCTGTGTAATTACCTGTGGGTTGTCCATGAACCACACCAAGCTTCCCTGCTGCGTGTCCAGTATGAAGTAACGACGCAGGAACTTGCCGCTGCTCTCGTTCTCCTCTATGTCCAGGAAGCCACAGATGCGGTTCTGTCGGTCCACATAAGGCATCTCGCCGCCGGGACATTCCCTGGCCTGCTGGGGCCGGGAATGGAGCAGAGCGGGGGGCGAGCGGCGGGACCGGGGGAGAACTCCTAAAGGGGCCGAGAGAGAAAAAGAGTGGAAAGAGAGACACGTGTGAGGAGGGAGGGAGTAAATAAGGGATTTGAGTTGTCTTTGTGGTGAGCCGTGCTAGCGTATCCTGCTCCCTCTTTCTCTCTGTATCCACTGTATCTCTGGTCTCTCTGCCACCTGGAGCTCACTAGGCTACAGCCTGCCAGGGGATCATGTGACACAAACCACAACCCCGCCTTTATCCTTTTATATCAGCCTCACCCACTCTCTCTCTCTCCCTCTTTTGCTCTCCCTGAGTCCCTCTTTTCTCTCTTGTAACACACTGTCACTCTCTCTTCTACCTCCTCCTACTCCTCCTCCTCCTCCTCCTCCTCCTCCCACCCTGGCTTGCTCTCTTTCTTTCCTTCTCCCTCTTCCTCTCTCGCAGCGCTCTCCTCTCTCACTTTCTGGGCTATCTCCTCCCAACTGCTCTCTCATCCGATTTGGCAAGCCTCTGGCCGGCCCCTTCTGTCCCCTCCTTCCCTCCACAGCTGAGCACCCACTTGAGCATGGTCAAAAAAAAAAAAAGGAGAAAAAAAAAAGAACAAAAAACAAAATCACCATTGAGCTCAGCCATGTTCGACACAGAGAAACAACACAAACGCCCTCAGAAGCTGCGCACGAGAGGATAGCGTATGCAATATTTAACCTGCTGAAGTCTGACACAACCCCCCGAAACCTACAGCTCAGTCAACAAAAAAAGTCAATGATTAGAGTACATCTGTTTAGTCCTACGAGTGTGGACGCACACATGTCACTGTCAAACTCTTTGTGGGTGGGTGGGTGCAGCATTACTGTAGGAATATTGTCATTAGCCCGTTGAAGCTGCTGTCTTTTTGGACGGAGCCTAAAATATGTGATTGGGATGAGTCTGTGGAAAGCACAGATAAAGACGCTCTTTCTCCGGGACATTATGAGCACTGCGTGGGCGGATGGGGGCAAAGCCGGGACAAAAGGCCCGGTTGTTGTGCGTGGACTCCGAGCTGAGAGCATCTCAGTTAGCCGCCGCGTCGACCCGAGTCATCCCGCTTGACACACAGGCACGAGAGAGGAGCGACACTGTCAGAGGCAACTATCTCGACTCTGCACAAACAGCAATTGTCATGTGAGAGTGAGAGGAGCCTCTGTCGAGTTTGGTGATCATGTAAATTAGGTGCTGTGCACAAGCTCATCTGCATGCGTGCTTGTGTGTTTGAGTGATGCAGAATAGATGATAGAGATAGAGAGAGATAGAGAAAACTCCAAAATGGTTGAGCAGGCAACCATGTACACGACATAGTTTCCTCATTTCAAAGACAACTGGGCAGAACAATAGGTATGATAACTGTAGTAAGACTATAGTATACTATAGTAAGAGAAGAAATAGAATAGAAATACATAGGCCAATATTCATTCTTTAACCAACATGACATATTTAATACTTTCAATAAGGCTCATAATTGTTGGAAAGATGTGGGGGTCCCCCTTGTCCAGATGAAATCAAGAAATCGATATAGACTGCATGCTGGTGAGCTTTACTGCTTTTTCAAGTCAAGCCATCTGAGAATATTCACAATTATGTGTTATGTTATGTTTTTAATCACGATGTGCAATAATATCATATAGCATGCCATCCCTGCTGTGCACGAGCTGCTCAGGATCAGACAGCTGACAAACTGTTAGTGACTAGCTGCTGAGCATGATGGAGCGTATGGCAGCTGGTCTCCCTCAGGAGACCAAAAACACAGTGTATACTGGACATTCGACAGGTGGGCAGAAATCCAACTCTGAATGAGTGATAATGTTCCTCTGTAAAGTAACGGGTGGATGTGTAAATATGCTGGATGTGGGACCACCAGTTCACCATATCAACTTTAAAGGTGTATTTCCACTGCCTAAAAGACTTATTGCAGCTTTAACTGTTGAAAAATATCCTCATTGCTTGTCACTATGTAACAGAGACACATTTTCTAAATGATCTAGACATATCTTTGGCATTTCAATGCAGCAGTTTGTTACTGGCCGTCAAATTCACAGATGCCAGCATATCTGCAGTTACTTAACCTCTGCTGGAACACGGTCGGGCCGATATATCTATCTAATGTTAACGCAATTCACATGGCGTGGATGTCTCAAACGCAATAAATTCCCACTAAAGCAACCTATGGAAAAGATGATCACTGAGGAGGTTCTGACATTATGTCAGGCAGCAGTACGTTAACAAATGCTATCATGATCTGGATATGATGTTTATGTGGAACACGAGAACACTGGTTATTCAGTTTTCTCCATAAATTGCAGGAAAGTCTCTGACTCCTCCACATCATGAGTTAGCTCAGCAGTTAAAGATAAACCCAGCTTGTTTTATGGCTGAGAAACGTGACTGCGTGTATGATCGCACTGGATTTGGCTTCTCTGTCTTATCACCAGCAATTAAAGAAGAAACTGACAATGCATTTTCTCTGACAATCCCATATGACATTATATAAAGCTGCGTAACCATGTCAGACTTTTATATTTATTCTAGAGCATAGATGGATTTATTATCTTCCTTTTTTTATTTTTTTTTTTACAGACTAATTACCGGTACTTGTGTAATCCCTCCATTGTTATGAAGACAAACACACACAGTATCTGAGTTTCTATTGAGTACTCCAGGTCACACATTGGAGTTTCTGAAGCCAGGATATGATTTTCACTTAGTCAAACACATAACTAGGATACTTCAGAAACAGATCATTGCCAGGATACTAGTGTACCTGTACAAATGCACTCATACTGTCTGGGCTCACAAGTGCGAGGTTACAAAGCAGGGCTTCCTGTGTAATGCACACATGACTGGAAAAAGACTTTCAGTGAACAAGAGCAAGTGACAGGGGTGTACTAACAAAATAAACATGCAAAGTAGGAACCAGAAGACACGAGCAAGTTCAAAAGTCTAACTCGGAAGAAGGTCTCATAAGACTGTGTGATTGGTTGGTCGACTTCTTTCTAGGTCAAACCTTTCGCTGGTGAACTCGCTCTTTACTTTTGCTGGAAGGCTTTGTCACATGGCAGCCAACTGGTCACACAGGACAAGCCATAAAACAACAGTAAGGACCAGCTGGTTCGACCTTACTGTTTTCTTTTCGTGATCTTAGACCACTGGTGCATCACTTAATGTCACACAACAGATGCAAACAGTAACTGTAAGGTAGGGCTGCTCAATCAACTGAAATATTATCAGTATTACAATGAGACAATTATTAAGTGTAATATCCAAATCCAAGGGAAGTAATATTTAATAAAGGTAAAACATGTGACAAAGCATTGTAATGAGTACTGGAGGGCTGCAGATTCCCTGGCATACAAATCTTCTATCTCCAGAAAACATGTCTGTTCGGTACAGGCCCCAACAAATGTCATATTATCATGTTTTTAATAGTTTCATAAGTGAAAATTTAAACTGTGATGCAAAAACAGTCATTGCCATGAACGTGAATCACATTGCAATCGTACTGTCTGTCTAAATAATGTGCTTTTTGTATCATACCGTGCAGCCCTACTGTAAAGGAGACACTTGTTTTAATCCCCACCTGCATATGAACTATAAAGCACGTCTAGGTGTTGAGGATGTCTAATTGTATTGTCCACTACACTAGTAGTTGAGCATTTGAGAGAGAGAGAGACCAAAAGGGAGAGAAAAATCATTGAGGTAGAAATGCTATGGGGGGGCCAGAGGCGATGTGGGGAAAGGGCTGGTACGTGGAGTTAATTGGATCTCTACAGGTCAAAGTTGGGAAGGGTCATTCCGGTTCAGCTGAAAAGAGTAATTTCTGGTCAATATGTGGCTCTGAAAGCTGCACATAAGGCCAGCAGGTTTGACAGGCTCTGGCCTTCACATTACTCAGTCAGGCAGGGTCGTGGTTTCCACAACAGCACGCTAGTGAGGCTTTTCAGTGCTTCCACAGCAGGACAAAATGAAGATGCTCACTGGGTTGAACTAGTAACATTAACTGCGCCTTGAGTTACTAAAACCCCAAACCATTTACTAGCCAACGAGCTTCCAACTTCAACGCGGGAATAACGTGCAGATAAACAATCACAGACAGCTAACGTTAGCTCACGTTAGACACGTCAGATTAACACATTTGTGTTAGCAGCATCAGACTCTGGCTCTCTGGCCTCAAGTTAACTAAGATATGGCTCAGGTTAGCCTGCTATTAGCAACTACTTCCCACCACAAACTTACAAATATACACAGCATTGAAGCGTAAGATATCAAGCCAACGCTTCACAGTGCAGCAAACGAGAGCGCCTCACTATCCGCTCATTTCATCTGACGGTCTGGCAAAGTTTAATCATACACGATGACCTAACCTAGCTAACATTGGCGACTCGTCTTTGACAGTATCGTCAAAATACAACTGGCAACTTCAGCTGTGCCAAACGCCAAAGCTGCGTTTATTAATTGGTATTAAGTACATTTTGTTCCGCGGGTCCACTTACCCGAGTCTTCTGTAACTGTAACTGCTTCACTCAGCGGCCGATGGTGTTGGTGCTCCTCTCCGCCTCAACCCATCTCCACCGATCCAGGACAGAGCTCCAGCGCTGCTGCTGGTGGAGCACAGGTCGTTTATAGTGAAGAGGATCACTCTGGTGGTGGTGGTAGTAGTGATATACAATATAATTTTTTGGGGGGGAAAGAAGTCAAAATATAAGGTATAAAAAGGTCATGTAAATTCACCTCACTCTTGCAGCATAGTCCACCTCTGCAATGTTAAACCAAATATTCCAAATGTTTTTTTTCCCAGGTGTTCACCTGATACACCTCTCCACTATAAGGGACAAAAACCAGTTACAACAGGCAGGGAGGTAATGATAAACTTAGTTCACGCTAAAATATAATTCACTCTGGGTTCTCACAATTTTTATTTTTTTGTCCATTCAAAGAGACACATTATTCTACAAGACCAAACACAACGTTTACTGTATAAGTGTGGTGTAAAGCTATATTGCTTTTTTTATTGGGCCTGTTAACTAATTATACTTAATACTGTTTTTTATATTGAAGTCTCTATTTTATTTTTTTTATGTCTCGAAAAGGAGACCAGAGTGAGAGCTCTTTCCGTTTGTATCTAGGAGTAAAGAATGAGACAAGCATTGGGTATCATCAACACATGGAGAGCAGAATGACCACAGTGGTGATTTAGCGACATCTAACGTTTAAAAGCTGCAGCCACTTAGTGCTGACTATCTGCCATGATGTTGCGTTGACATTTTGTCATTGCGTAACATTAATTGGGTCATTTTTACTTAGCAAAGGACCTCTTCTTTCAAACAAACAAATAACTGAATATTCTGTTCGCCGCTCACCATAAGCAAAAGGAAGCTATGGATTTTATTTCAATGTGGCTGCAGTTCCTGTTCAGCCTATTGACAGCAGCTCATGTTGTAATATGTATACCATAAATCCCAGCAAAGGGCAATGTGATGTGCAAATCTACACACACATAAGCTAACCTTACATACACATTATTGCCAGCAGGGTATTAATAAAAAGACGCTATATGAAGGTTTCCTGCAGTGCATCAGCCAATGTGACATTTAGCCTACAGTCAAACTTAAAAGAACAGGTTTAGCAGTCAGTCAGATAATGGCCTTGTAGCGAGCATTGCCTTGCACAAGTCCCCTCTTAGCAGTCAGATCACATTTCAGACACATTTCATAAAGGCAACCTGTCTTTCAGAGACGATGGGCGTGAACAAACAGGAACACCCACACACACACACCCACACGCACCCACTGCCTACTGCAGAAGAAAGGTTTGAGTGAGTAGTGAAAAGGAAAGGCGGGCAGGCTGGCTGGCTGACTGCTGCTGATGATGAGTTTTATGTGAGTTTTACTTGTCTTCTTGTCACTGTGAGTCTGCCACCCCTCTCCCGCGGGCTGACAGAGGAGGCAACCATGGAAGAGGAGGGGGACACCCACAAGGAGATGAGGCATTTTCCTCCGCTGTGGCCTCTCCCAAGGTCCCGCTCTAAGAGTGACACCTCCGGATTTCGCTCCAGGGTGCTGTTCAGGCTCAGGGGGGCCCGCTCAGGTAGGACAAAGCACACAATTTTACCCCAAACTGTATAACAAAGGCAACCTATTAAAGTGTTAGTGTAAATCCTATCATAGGATCTTAAGGTTGAGGTTGAGAGCAAACTTGTTGACTATATGATGCTGTTTTATACTTGTATTTAAATTCAATTCCTGCATCATTTTGTCAACCATTTGTTTTACAACTCAGCTGAGACATCAGTAACCTACTAAACTGTCACCGTCTTTCATATCCACTATAGAATGTTTCAAGTTACACTTGTTGCTCCTGTCAGGCAGCATCTCTATATGACTAATAAATGAGCACTGGCAATATTTATATCTATGGGTTTCCTGCACTCCTACACAGAAAACTTTCCCTCCCTCTTCCTCTCGCTTTTTGCTCTGGAGACCTCAAATATGCAAACACGAAAAACTTTCTTTCTTTCTCAGTTCCTTTTCTTCTTTCTTTATCCATACTGTATTTACTTTACCTATAAAGTGGTGCATGTTTTATTCTTGTGCAACCCTGAATGACTTTAGCGTTTAGACTTTAGAGTCTTTAATAATGAAGTTCATCGCTGGTGCACCCAGTTCCTTTGACAAGTCACAAAATAGTGTGACTCGTCAAATGTGACTATAATTAAGGTGTGAGAAGTTCATACACCAGTAAAAGTGCCAAAAATATTAAAACTATGAAAAATGGGAGCTAAAGAGAGGGGATGAAACCTTTTCACAAGCTGTGAGACCTTGGCCACAGTGTTAACTGACTATTGTGTCCTCAGCATCTAACTTAAATGTCACTGTCACAGTTTTGCTGCCTGGAGGCTGTTGAGCCCTGACAGACTCATATGTCAGCGGTTAGAACCACTTCCTTTCAGCCGTCTTCAGCACCTTAGCCTAAGCCTGCAGCCCTGCTCACACGCCTATATCCTTCTCGGACCTATCTTGCAGACGTGAAGTTCTTTTTAAAGTATCGCTTTTGCATGAGGGCTTGCTTGTTATGCAGTCTGATTAATTTATTTTAAGTTTACAGTAATATTTATATTAGAAGCTGCAGTTATCTTCAGCTGCCACAGGAAGTGTTCTGTGTTTACGGTGGAGTTGTAATTACAGGAAACGATCATGAAGTGGAGCAGTTAGGAAATTAGATGTCCGAAGTTGTTTATGTCTCCTGCCAGTTTGCATTTCGAGCTTCATGGTTTGAACTGTCTTTGAGTAACTTGGCTCAGCCTGACAACTGACTGTTCATCAACAATCATCTTGTGTAATTATCAGGGGTGTTTTTCCAAATCAGTGTTTTTATCATAGTTTTATGTAACATGGTTTGAGACCAGCATTTAAGATTTCAAATTGAACTTAATTCACAAAGATTTACTCTACAGTATTATGTTGAGAGGCTCAGGAAAATTAACTACTTGTAAATCAAACAACAGGGGGAGCTAACTCACCTTTTTTGTACTGAAAAACCATATGCAGTAATGGCACCTCACGCATATGGTGATACTACATTTTTCATATCCATCCCACAGGGCGAAGCTTCAAAGGCACCTAAATGAGGACTGAGGGAGAGCACGCAGGGTTCATTTAGCTCCATGTCTGACATGATCTGAAATATAGATAAGATCTGACATGAAGCTCTAAACTGCCAATGACACGAACATTTATTCTCTCTGAAAGAATATATGAAATACAGCACTCTTTTTTTAAACTTAAAGGGGAGAAGTTGCTTAGCTGATGAGAAATTTCTCTTGCCCAAGGAAAAATGCTCCTGTGGGGAATATTACCAGAATTAATGGCTGAAAGGAGGAATGTCTTTTTCATGTCTGTGTAGTTTCTTTTCCATATCAAACTCAAAGAAAACATGAGACTAAAAAGGGAAATGCAGTCCACAGTACAAGTCAACAGGAAGTATAAGCAAATATAAAGTAGGTCATTTTAGGTAAAAGTGACCTCTCAGAATTCCAAATGTTTATTCTTTCTTTATGTCCACATCATTATTTTCAGGGTTATGGATCACTGGAACTCAATACACAGATAAAACTTTGATATTTTGTATAGCTGGTGAATTTACAGACTTGTGGCAGATCATCAAATCATCTCTATGCAACAGTACAGAAGTTATTTGGTTGAATTTAAAATCAGTTCTTGCTTGTTATAAATTTGTAACCAGACTCCTGTCATATTACTGGGTAAAGCACACTAGATATAACTTAGATATCAGCAGCTTTGACAGAAACAATTGTAAAGGAGGATATTTCCCCTCAAATCAGAATTTGTCATCAAAACTTGACAGATATTAAGATTTAAACTCCACTTTTGACAGTTTGACAGTTAAAATATACGGTAAGTTCTTTCGCATCCAAAACAAGAACATTATTGTTTATGGGCTAAAGATTCAGTTAATTAGCCACACAAGATGGTGGTGATATATCATGTTTAATGCTATTTTCAATCACTATTATAATGTGTAGGCTGAGATGGTCTTTTCTGTCTGTAAATAGCATGCTGTCCTCCAGATAGGCGCTGTATCGCTTTTGTAATTACACAGTCAGAGAAAAGAAGAAAGAAGAGTAGAATAAAAGGGCAGAAGGGACAGAATGGCAGAATGGTGAAAAGGAGAGGAGAACAATGGGAAAAGAAGGCCAAGAAGAGATATATTAAGACAAAAGTAAACAATAAGAGGAGAAGGAAGAGAGTCAAACAGCGGAAAGTAAAGGAGACAAGGGAAGATGACGAGAAAAGAGAGGAGAGGAGGCAAACAGGGATGCAAGGACGGGATGATTAGAGAGGAGGAGAAGACAGATGGAAGAAAAGAAGAGGACAACAGAGGAGTGTCAGCTTGTGGGTACTGTCCTCGAAATAACATTGATTACAGACCCTTTTAGTCTGCAATAACTACTTGTTAAAATGTACTGTAATGCAGAGAGCAGCGGCCCGTCCCCCTTCACTGCCCACACACAGTCTACCCTCAGCCACTGTTGTAGCTGCTTTAACAGCCGCTGATATGACCAAAAAGTTCTGGTTCTTCATTGATTCAAGGCTTTATCTATAATTGTGTTGCAGTTGTGTAGTTGTTGCTTCAGAAATTGTAATTATTGAAGGATACAATTTTTTATGCATATTTTGCAGATGGCCTAGTTTTGGAAACTGGAGATAAACAGACACGTGCAACGATATATGCAGCTAATTTCGTTTGTCATCTGAAAGCTTCAAAAACATTTAAATGAACTTGCCTTTCTAGTCTTCCAGCCACTCAAAGCGCTTTACACTACATGTCACATTCACCCATTCACACACTCAGAGGCTGCCACTCGCATCTACTACAACTAATCCCATTCACAAACACATAAGGAGCAATTTGGGATTCACTCTCTTTTTACACTTCCACATGCATAAGGAGGAGCCAGGGGATCAAACCACCAACCTTCATATTAGAGGACCACTTACCCTACCTCTGGTGCCACAGCCGTCCCACTGTACTAACAAGTAGTTAAAAAGTGTCTCAACAACACCAAGGATCTGCATGTTACCAACTCTATGAGGATGGGAC